CGGATATACGAATATTGAATATCTATTGTACATCTAATATACATACGCATTTAATATATTTGACAAAATTTATCATATATACACAAAATTTTTTAAATCTTTTTAAAATATTTTTTAAAAGATAAAATAATTCTCGAAAATATTTTTAAAATGTTTTTATGTCCGCTTTTTGATGTTTAAAAATATTTTCAGAAATATATTTTGAATATACATTTTAAACTAATATTCAAAAATATGTATCAAATATTTAAGAAAATATTATCTGAACGATAAAAAGAACATTTTTAAAAATATTTTTAAAAGTTTTTTAAAATGTTATCACAAAAAATTTTTTAATTATTTTAAAATATTCCTAAAACCATTTTAAAATGCTTTTATGCAATATTTTATAGAAATATTTAGAAATATTTTTGAAAACATTTATATTTTGTGCTGATATATGTGTATATATATATATATATATATATATCTACCATTATAGTGGAGTATATGCATCGTAATTGATTTATAATTTTTAAGATGCCAAAATTAAAAGAATATTATTAGCGTTATTAGCGCAGAGTTTGCTCCAATACTATACTGAACGTATATTACTTTTTAATATTTGCAAAAAATATAGAATTAATAGCTTCTGCGCTTGTTGCCAATATATATATATATATATATATATATATATATATATTGCAAATATTAAATATTTTGCAAATATTAAAAAGTAATATACGTTGAGTATAGTATTGGAGCGAACTATGCGCTAATAACGCTAATAATATTCTTTTAATTTTGGCATCTTAAAAATTATAAATCAATTACAATGCATACTCCACTAATGGTAGATAAGTTGATTGCACTGCGTGAGTTGTGCGACACTGCGGCTAGACATTTTTCATTTGTCTTCACTGCTCTTCTTGGCTCTCATCATTACTGTCTCATTTCTCATTCATCTTTCATGCAGTACACCACGCTTTGAAAAATCTAGAAATCGACTTGCGACGTTTTAATTTGTCTAAAGTGATTGTGCGTTGTGTGAAAACAACTTTTCGTGGAGTAGCAGCAGGCAGTACATATAGTTTTATTAATATTAAAGCGGTAAGTCTCGTATATATGTCTTATATTATTTTATTTACTATTTTATTTATAATTAAGCATAATTACAATAAACTTTTTCTTCATATGTTTATTTCTTAAACTAAATAATATAACATGCTAGTCCAATAATTTAATTAATATAATCTAACAGCACGAAAGACATTATCAATAAACAATCTGCATAAATCTATTGGACTATTAATTCAATGAATAGCTCAGCACGCTCATTCAAAAGACATCCAGAAGATATCTTCGGGATATCTTCTGAATGTCTTTTGAATATGTATGCTGCATGAATAAATTTGGTTAATATAAAATGCATAAATCTATTGCTTTTAAAAAGCTATACTAACTTTTCAATTTTTATACAAATATAATATTATTTTCAATTTTGTTTAGGTTCAATTTTTAAGTTATTTTATTTAATAAATTTCAATTTAGTATATGTCCACTCAGCATGCTTATTCAAAAGACATTCAGAAGATATCTTCGGGATATCTTTAGGGTACTAAATTAGAAATAATAAATTTAAGAAATAAAATAACTTAAAAATTGGACCTAAACAGAATTGAAAATAATATATATTTGTACAAAAATTGAGAAGTTAGTACAACTTTTTAAAAGCAATAGAATTATGCATTTTATATAAATAAATTTACTCATACAACATGCATATTCAAAAGACGTTTAGAAGATATTCCGAAGATATCTTCTGAATGTCTTTTCAATATGCATGCTGTATGGGCAAATTTGTTAATATAAAATATATAGTTCTATAATATACATTTGCATTACATGTAAGTGATGAATAAAATCTACATATATTGGTTATTTATAGTTTATAAATAGTATAAGTTTAAACATATTCAAACAATTTGCTATATATAAAGTTTTAATTTTCTTTCTAATATTGTTTGTTTCAGCTATCTTATAAAGTATAAAGGTTCTTTATAAATTATTTTATATTTTTGGATATTACGTTCAACTTCGATTCAATCATTCGGATCTATAAATCTTTATTGCACTTTTTATCTATTTAATTTTCTTGTGTCTCTCTGAATATAATTCAAAATGCCTAATAAAAAAAGTCAAAGAGAAAAATTATGTCGGAAAGTTAATGAAAAACTTCATCTGTCATTAGCAATAATTAGTGAAACGGATCAATTAGCAAATAATGAAATATTCTTAGATGAATATTATAATCAGAATTGTAAAAAAATATATAATAGTGTTGATAATGAAATTGTTATTGATAATAATGATTTTAATGATAATAATGATAATAATGATAATAATGATAATGATTTTATAAATAATGATAACATTTTATTAAATAATCAAAGCAATAATTTGGAACAGAATGATTATTCTTTTCTTAATGATTTACAGCAACGTAATGATACTAATATTTCACCTCCATTATTTGCTAAGCCTAAGGAATCTCTTTCCACAAAATTAGGAAAATGGTCTATTGACAGAAATGTTAGTTTAACTGCATTTAAACAGTTATTAGATATACTACGCGAAGAACCATCATTAATTAATATCTTGCCAGCTGATCCACGTACTATTTTGAAAACACCCCGCAAATCTAATTCTTTAAATAATTCATATCATTATTTTGGTATACGCAAGTCACTAAATTTTTTATCTTTGAAACATAATGTAACTGTCGATCAAAATACAGAATTTTTTCTCGCAATTAATATTGACGGGCTGCCTTTAACAAAAAGCACATCAAGTTCCTTTTGGCCAATTTTGGGTACAGTTAAATCAATTAAAAATCTAAAAAATCAAGTATTCATAATAGCTTTACATTATGGAAATGAAAAACCTAAAGCCAATGAATTTTTAAAGGATTTTGTAGAAGAATGTATAAAATTATCAAATGGAATAATGATACAATCTGTTTTATGTAAATTCAAAATTTCAATGTTAATTTGTGATACCCCGGCCAAATCTCACATTTTATCTATTAAAAGTCATTCAGGTTATTTCTCATGTACGAAGTGTGATCAGGAAGGGGATATGGTTAATAACGTTTTATGCTTCGTTGAAACTGAAAATTTAAAAAAAAGAACAGATCATTCATTTAGAAATACCCTTCAAATCGAACACCACACAGGAGAAACACTTTGGCTTCAAATTCCCAATTTTAATATGATTGATAATGTACCTTTAGATTATATGCATAATCTTCTATTGGGTGCAACAAAAAGGTTGTTATGTTGTAAGCGTTATGGATGGATATTTGGCAAGCCTCCTCATAAATTACGTGCTTTAAATATTAATAAAATTAACAATAATCTTCAGGCTTTAAAAAAATATATTCCTTGTGAATTTGCAAGAAAAACTCGGCCAATAAACGAATGTAAAAGATTTAAGGCGACCGAATTTAGACTTTTTCTGTTATATACAGGCCCAATAGTTTTGAAGAAAGTAATACCATTAAAAGAGTATAATAATTTTCTTATGCTAAGTTTAGCTAGCTCAATATTGATAAGTAATCAGTACACAAAATTTGAAAATTATATTTCATATGCCGAAGACCTAATAAAATATTTTATTAAGAATTCAATTAAAATTTATGGACCCGATTTTATTTCACACAACATACATAGTCTATTGCATTTAAGTGATTGTGTACGTTTATTTGGTTCACTTGATGAATTCAGTGCTTTTGCATTTGAAAATCATATGCAAAAGTTGAAAAAGTATATCCGTAGACATTCGCAGCAGCTACAACAAGTTGTGTGTAGAGTTAGTGAGGATAATAATTTTTTGCAACCAATACAATTTGTAAATGATAATTCCATAACATTATTGCAGGAACATTTTAATGGTCCATTAATAAATAATTGCACTTCTCCGCAGTACAGGAAACTTAAAACGATTAATTATTGCTTAAATATTTTAAAAGTAGCTGATCGATTTGTCGAATTGACCGATTCAACTATCGTTGAAATACTAAATTTTGCATCATATCAAAATGAAATATTTTTAATAGGTATCAAGTATATTCCTCACAAAGATTTTTATTCAAAACCATGTTTTTCTTCATTATTTGATATTAAAGTTATTATAAAATATAATACTATATTTCAAATGTGGAGATTTGACAAGATCAAAAGAAAATTACTAGTTTTACCATATAATGATCAATATATTGCATATCCTCTACTGCATTTATAATTGTCTTAAATAATTTTATAATAAATAATAATCGATCACATTTTTCAATAGTTAGTTAAACATAAAATATTTGATAATTTTTAATTTAAATATTTGGAAACTTTATACTAGCTAGAAAAGAAAAATAACATACAAGCTAACGAAAAGTTAATTTTATAAGTTATTTTTCTTATTTAATTAGTATAAAGTCTCAAAATATACTTAATTCAGATTTATTATAATATAATAATTAATTGATCAGTTTTGCATTGAATTTTTTTTTTTTTATTAATTTCTTTATTACATATGTATTTTATTTGTTTAAAAAAATATTCCTTTTCTCTAGTCTTTCAATAATTATATTTTAAAAAACCCTCTTGTTAAATTGTGTAAATTTTATAACTAATTTTTTTTCACTGAATTTTATTCGTTGAGATATTTATTCGTTGATAGATAAAAGTTCAGTTTAGATTGAGATCCGAAATTGATTACTATCAGGTTATCAAGTAATTAAATCTGAATACCTGTAGCCCATAAAAATTTTAAAATAAAAAATTAGCATGTTGAGAATAAAAGTAACGAAAAAGATTTCAAAGAAGAGTCAGTTATGATATTTATTTTATTCTTTAAGTGATCTTGATCTATTTGCTAAATCATAGTTTTTCTCAAATGACATATCTCTATTTGTTTATTTCATTGTCTACTAGAGAAGTTTTTAATAATTGAATTTGAGTTTTAGGAATTTTTAAGAATTGATTAATATGTGTATATAGATGACTTGGCTTGTTGTTCGATTCAAAGAGGATGACACTGTTGAGGCAATACCGAAAAAATGGTTTTTGTTAAAAGAATCTGCATGCTATTGGCCACCACAAAATTATGAAACTACAGCTATTAAAGCAGCTATAAAAAATGAATATAGTCCTGATTCAAACTGGATGAAATACGGAGCAATTATTTTAGGCACATATGGTAAATATGTTATTGCTTATATTATATAAAATTGTATAACATTTTTATAAAAAAAATTATTAAATTATTAATATATGTATAAAGAATTATATACACACACACACACACACTGTTATTAATCATGGAATATCTTCTTTTATTTGTAATTATCATAAACTTATAATAATTACATTGTTATTTTGTACCACACATTTATTTAATATGCAATTCTATAATGTACAACAATATGGTAGTTATATTCTTTGTTATTGGATATATAATAAGTAATATTTATTTAGGTGATTTAAAACTTGCTAAAAGAAAGGCAATTAAAGCCCAACGTACAGATGATCTTTCATCACATACGGAGATTTTAACGAAAAAGAATAATAAAATACATAAGCGGGGACAAGGCAAAAGTAAAGGACATAAGGATTACTCAGATACTGATAAATCTTATGAATCGATATCTGATGAAGATAGCAACACATACCCTACATTACCACTTTCTGGCAAGAGACACGGTATAAGATAAATACTTTTCTAGTAAGAATTCATTTTATTTTCAAAAACTAATTTTCCTTATATTTAACAGATAATGATCGCTCTCCAATGGAAAGTCAAAATATTACTAATCGTAAGTATTTTTAAAACTTGAACTTTTATGTAAAATATTTATTATTACATTATTAATCAGATCAATATACTGAAGAAAATACGGCTTAGCAATTTATATATTTAAATACTGCTACCGGCTTTAAAGTGGAATAAATTAATATAGAATTTATTTATTAACACTATTATTTAGATTAATTTATATTAATACTATTATTTAATTAATACTATTATTTATTATTGAAAAAATCAATATTGTTTTAAAATATTAATTTTTAAATGTATATTATAATTGTTATCTAAAACCAAAATATTTAAATATAAATATATTTAGATAACAATTATAATATACATTTAAAAAATTAATATTTTAAAACAATATTGATTTTTTGAATAATAAATAATAGTATTAATTAAATAATAGTATTAATATAAATTAATCTAAATAATAGTGTTAATAAATAAATTCTATATTAATTTATTCCACTTTATATTTATATTTAAATATTTTGGTTTTAGATAACAATTATAATATACATTTAAAAATTAATATTTTAAAACAATATTGATTTTTTCAATAATAAATAATAGATGTGTAGGATTGAAAAATTTGCCGCGCTCGATCGAACGAAAATTCACGGATCAGTCGAGAATTTAAGTGAAAGCAATTGCCGGGCCTACGGAGCAAAATCGCGCGCCCGCGAGAATTCCGCGGCAAAAGCGCGCGGGCCGCGCGCCGCGGCGGCACGCATCGGAATCCGCGGTGATCGCCGCGAGCGTGTCCGTCGTGATCAGGCGGTCGATAGCGTGACAGCGTTGTCGCAAGTCGTCGACCAAGAGAATTCGCGTTACGGTGTAATAAGTGCGTGAATGTATTATCGCGACAAATACGAACAGATTTGCGCGGTATTGTGTGACATATCGAGAGTGAAGAGTTAACGGGTAATCGGATCTCGTTCGCGACGCAACATACACGTTCTCGCGACGAATTCGCCATTGTCTCGTGCATGCTACGTGCACGTGATCGAACATTACGAGTATTCGGATCCTGCTGGAGGATTCACTGCGATATTCGCGTATCGGTGAATGCATGTCGTGCATTCTCTCTCTCGCTCGTTCTCTCTCTCTCTCTCTCTCTCTCTCTCTCTCTCTCTCTCTCTCTCGCGCTCTCTCTCACAATTGTCGTAGTACGCCGTCGCGACGAACTCGCCGTCGTATTGTGCACGCTGCGTACACGTGATCGACTCCTGCGAATATTCGAATCCTTCTGGAGGATTCTGTGTGATAGTTAATTGCATATAAATGCACGTGATCGAACATTACGAATATTCGGATCCTGCTGGAGGATTGAATGTCACATAATTGAAGACAATTATTAAGTCGCGTCAAATCATATGTGCGCGTGTTCGATAAATTATAACGGTCGTCCACAAGAGGACAAATTTGTTGTTGTACGATTCGCGATCGTGACTTTCAAATAAGACATTGTTTTCTCTTGCGACAAAAAACATTGGTGTCGATATCGAACAAACAGTTTTTTCTTTTGTGATCGCGAGCTTCGAAACGTGTACAGCAAACGCTTTCGATTCTCATATCGAGTTTTTGTTCTTTTTTTCTTTGATTTGTTTGTGTCAAGTCCAGGTGACTTTCTGACATGTGAAATAATAAATTGATCTGTTTTTGTTCATCAACTTCAAGACTTCTTTTCAATTCGGCTTCCTACGTAAATCATCAATCTCAGCGCACACATGGGTGCGCGATCACCCTATTAAGATACAGTCCACTCAACAATTATCCTATTGTCCATCCATCACATCTCTCATGAGATTCCTATGATTTCTTTCCAATAAAAAAAAAAAAAAACGGGTGAAGGATTTGAGAGGCGGCGCGCGAGACGCGGCCCTAAAAAGGCCGAGCATGCTCGTTCGCCGCAGCTTCGCGTCGGACCACGGTTCAAGCCGCGCGTTCGCAACATTTGGTCCTTCGAGCCGGATTTGAGATTGGTGACGAATTGAAAAGTGAAAAACTCAAGTAAAAAACACAGTGACATTGCAAGTACATTCAAAATCGGACATCATCAAACGCTATCAGTGCATTCAAAGAGAGTGACAGCTCGGTTCGTAAAAGACTAATTTGATTAAATTCAGTGTCGTTGAAACCTCAGTTGATTAAATTCAGTGTCAAAATGGAAGAAGCTCTCGCAAATCAACAAACTGCTTGCTATTCAGTTGCTCGAGCTCTCGACAATTTTAAGAAGATCGGTCGGTCAAATCTGACGGCCGCCAAAATTCGCTCGCGAATGACGAGCTTACAAGACACGTGGACACAATGTGTACGCAATCACGCGACACTGCTGCAGCTTGTTCCTGACGAGAAGCAAGTTTCAATTCACTACTTCAAAAAGGAGACCTTCGCCTTCCACGAGGACCTCTATCAGGCAGCTATGGACTACATGAACGAGTGCTTGGAGGAGCTGGTTCCAGTCGTAAGTCGTGAAACCTCTTTCAACGCTTCGTTCGCGCATACAGACTCTGCGTCATTATCGGTCAAACATCTTCCTCCCATCAAATTGCCGCCGTTCACCGGTAAGATTGAGGAGTGGGAGACTTTTCGCGATCGGTTTCAATCGCTTATTATAGACAATCGCGAATTATCGAACTTCAGTCGCATGCATTTTTTAGTGTCAAGTTTAACAGGCTCAGCTCGCGATGCGATATCAGGTATTAAAGTCACCGCGGATAACTTCTCGGTTGCGTGGAAAGCATTAACAGCGCGTTTTGAAAATAAGCGCCGATTAATTGAGACTCACATTTCGAATTTGTATAATCTTCCGAAAATGACTCGTGAGTCAGCTGTCGAGCTTCACGCCTTACGCGATAAAGCCGAACAAGCGATCTCAACATTGCAACGTCTTAATCGTTCGCCGGACGATATAGTCAGCGACATGTTAGTTTATTTTCTCTCTCAGAAGTTCGATCCCGCCACGCGCCGTGCGTGGAAGTTAAAAACGAGCGATATCGAAAATCCGCCAACATACAAAGAAGTATTAAAATTTATTTCGTCGCGTGCTCTCGCGTTAGAGGAACTTCACCCTCGCGATAACGACAAGACCAAGTCACATGCGAAAGTGACTAGCGCAACAGCGACTGCGTCATTTAATATAGTGTGTTCAATGTGCAAGCAATCGCACATTCTCTCAAAATGTCCGCAATTTGTAGCAAAGAGTCCGATTCAGCGACGCGAATTGGTTAAGAAATTTCGACGATGTTTTAATTGTTTGAGTGATAAACACATGTCGATCAATTGTCAAAGTAATTTCACATGTCGAACATGTAATAAACGACATCATTCTATGATTCATCTCGATTCGGACTCATTGCAACAAGTTACAAATGCGAACAATACGTCAAACGCGAATGACGTCATCGACAACGTGCCTAACGTTACGGCACTCTCATCAGTTACAATGACAACTGCGCCGACTCCTGTTGTCTTATCTACTGCAAAGGTGAATTTGCAGGCGCCTTCTGGACGCTCATTGGTTGTCAGAGCCTTGATTGACGGTGGATCAGAGCTCACGTTTGTGACGGAGCGCGTTGCTCAAATATTACGTCTCAAGCGTATACGAACGCTTACTTCAACGTCGGGAATAAGCTGCGCTGACACCGGTACATGCCGATCTGCGGCTCTGATTCACATCACTCCTCGCAAAAAATCGAAACCAAGGTTCACAACGGTTGCCTATATTATGAAGGCATTAACGAGGTATGCTCCCAGAAACGCTTCGCAATCGCAAGATTGGAAACATATTTCCAATCTGGAATTGGCTGACGATGATCCTACCGGATCAACACCGATTGATCTCATAATAGGATCCGATTTATATAATCACGTACTCGTTCACGTACGTAACGGACCGCTCGGTCAACCAGGTGCAATTGAATCGCATTTCGGATGGATCCTATCCGGAACAACCTCTATCCCGAATCACGTGACACAACCCTCTCATGTGGTAACTTCAACTCTCGTAATTCCGCCTGTTGAGGATGCGAGTCGCGTCGTGCAATCAGCTCAGTTAAATCAACGTTACAGTGTTGTCGCTCATTGTTGTTCTCTCGAAAATCAATTGTCTAAATTCTGGGAGGCAGAAGAAACACCTCAATCAATTGAAATGTCCCCAGATGACGAACAATGCGAAGAACATTTCAAACAAACGCATTCGAGAACATCGGATGGGAGATATATCGTGCGTCTGCCGTTTCGAAACGGCCCACCCATCGAAATCGGTGAATCTCGCGAAATAGCCGCGCGTCGGCTTTCGTCGTTACTTCGGAGAATTAATAATCAACCTGCGATTAAGCAGGAGTATGCTGAATTCATGAGCGAATACGCACAGTTGAATCATATGAAAGTAATCGCACCGGTGGATTCAGTAAATTCACAAGTCGTGTACATCCCTCATCATCCGGTCATTCGAGAGACTAGTTCGACAACTCGGTTGAGAGTCGTATTTGACGCCTCATGCACAACCTCTAACGGTACCTCGCTCAATTCTCACATGTTTACTGGGCCTAAACTACAGTTAGATCTGCAATCGGTTTTATTACGTTGGCGACAGCACAAATACGTTTACTCCGCAGACATAGCGAAAATGTATAGACAAATATTGGTCGACTCGCGAGATAGAGATTATCAACGCATCCTATGGATAGATGAAAATTCGAATATTCAAGAACATCAACTCCTTACGGTAACATACGGTACGGCTTCCGCACCGTTTTTAGCTCTTCGAGTCATTAATCAGTTAAACGATGATGAAGGAAGCTCGTTTCCACTAGCATCTGCGGTTTTAAGCGAGAACGTCTATGTGGACGACGTGCTGTTTGGGGCCGAAGATATGCCTCTCCTTAAACAGACTCGAGATCAAGTTTGCAAATTGTTGAAACGCGGTGGATTCGATCTTCGCAAATGGGCGAGTAACAAACCGGAGTTGCTCTCAGATATTTCATCGGATCATCACGGGCTCGCACAGCTTAAATTATTCGAGACTGACAACAATCTGAAGGTTCTCGGTATTTTTTGGAATCCGACGCACGATTGTTTCCAGTTTCAAATTGAATTACCACAGACTCTCCCTTCTACAAAACGAACGATTCTCTCTACCATAGCCAGAATATTCGATCCACTTGGATGGGTCACACCCGTGGTTCTCAAAGCGAAAGTTTTTATGCAGAAATTATGGCGACACAAAGTAGGCTGGGACGACAATCTCTCAGAAGATCTCCTTTTACAATGGAGCGTGATTTATAAATCACTTCCTTACATCAAAAGCATAAAACTTAGTCGCTGGATTGGATGCGATTCAGATACCAAGAGCATCGAGTTACACGGTTTCGCGGATGCTTCCCAAGTAGCTTACGCCGCAGTAGTTTTTTTGAGAGTCACAACATTATCCGGTCATACAACTGTTTCGCTCCTCGCTGGGCGATCCAAAGTCGCGCCTATCAAACCGCTGACAATCCCTCGATTAGAATTGTCAGCTGCGGTCTTATTAGCGCGCCTAATTGAATTCATCAGAAAATCTCTTCATTTCACGAAAATGCCAGTCCATTGTTGGACAGATTCGAGTATTGTGCTTGCTTGGTTAAACAAGCACCCATCTCATTGGAAAACTTTCGTCTCGCATCGCGTAACAGAGATTCAAACACGAGTATCTGATGGCATTTGGCATCATGTCAGTACACATGAAAATCCCGCTGACTGTGCATCTCGCGGTTTACTCGGCACAGAATTAAGCGCCTTCGACATTTGGTGGCGCGGACCTTCATGGTTGAGTCTTAAACAGGATGATTGGCCCACATTCACAATAACGCCGATAGACGAAACACAGTTAGAAGAAAAACCGTGTCAAGTGCATCAAGTGAACGCTAATGAACCGTGGAATCTCACTACTCGATATTCATGGTGGCCAAAATTAATACGTATTACCGCCTACATTTACCGTTTCATAAGGAAGTGTAGAAAGAAACACACAATAGGATCGAACAACAAGTCTCAATATCACGCTCTTACTACAGTTGAATTCAACGAAGCACGAAACTTCTGGCTGAACTTCATTCAGTTAGAACTATTCGAAAACGAGCTCCATAATTTAAAGTCAAACAAACCGTTGCCTACTCACAGTCCAATTCTCTCATTAAATCCGTTCCTGGATTCTGACGGTCTAATTCGCGTTGGGGGGCGATTAGAACACTCGTCATTATCTTTCCAGTCCAAGCATCCAATCTTATTAGCCAACCATACGATCACTACCATGATCATCCGTTATACGCATGTTGTATCTCTCCATGCCGGTCTTCAATCCACTCTTTCAAAACTTAGACAAGAGTTTTGGATTTTGAGAGCAAGAAGTCTAGTAAAGTCGGTTATTTATAAATGTGTTCCGTGTACAAGAGAAAAGGCTCAAGTAGCTAGTCAGCTGATGGGCCAGCTACCTACAAGTCGTGTTTCGGCGCCCTCTCGAGCGTTTCTACATAGCGGTGTCGACTACGCCGGACCAGTCTTTACACGTGCTTCAGCCGGCCGAGGAATTACCTCGCGAAAGGCCTACATAGCACTCTTTATTTGTTTAGCCACACGCGCTATTCATCTCGAACTGGTTAGTGATTACTCGACTGCTGCCTTTCTTAACGCTTTTCAAAGATTTTGTGCGCGACGTGGATTACCAGAGGTCATGTACTCGGACAATGGTACTACGTTCGCAGGAGCAGACAAGGAGTTGTCGCAAGCGTATCGAGACGCTCAAAGCGATGTTAACTTTCTCAACTTTATCGTGTCAGATAACATCACATGGAGTTTTATCCCTCCCCATGCTCCACACTTCGGTGGATTGTGGGAGGCAGGGGTCAAAAGCGTTAAATACCACCTTCGTAGGATATTAGGAAATCACACCCTCACTTTCGAGGAACTTACTACCGTGCTTTGTAAAGTTGAAGCATGCTTAAATTCAAGGCCCCTGTGCCCATTGACTGATTCGATTGACGATTTTGAAGTGCTCACTCCGGGTCACTTTTTGATTGGATCGGCAATCACAATCAATCCAGAACCTTCTGTTCTGCAAATCAATGAAAACAGACTGTCACGGTGGCAGTTGTTGCGACAGATCACGGAGCGTTTTTGGAAGCATTGGCACGCCGACTATATTAACACGCTTCAACAGCGAACTAAGTGGCGAAAGGCAAAGTCACTTATCCATATCGGTTCCATGGTTCTGATTCAAAATCCTCTTCTTCCTCCTTGCAAATGGGAACTCGGACGCGTAATCCACTGTCAACCAGGCTCTGACGGATTAATTCGAGTAGTTTCCGTCAAAACAGCGAACTCGGAATATAAGCGTCCCATAACTAAGTTATGTGTGCTTCCAATCGACGTTGATTCTGACGATTCCATCGAGGATCAACCTCGAGTGTCAAGCAATTAGCGATAATTCTAGTGTAAGTTAATTATACGATTCTAATTCTAATTACGTTATAATTTATGTAGCAAGTAAGTCAAGTTTATGTTCATTAGTTAAGTCAAAGCGTGCAAGTAAAGTCGCCAAGGCGGGCGGCGCTTGCAATCCTAAGTTTAAGGTCGTGCGAATTAGTACGAACAGCGGATACTGTTGTTTACGCGATCTGCGTTAAATGTTAAAATCCGTCCGCGATAACAACAGTGATCTTTAGAAGTCAACTTTAAGTCAATATTGTCAGCCGTTTCAGGTCTACAATTTCACTTTAGTGCGATCTGAGCGTAATCAGAAGTTACATCTCAGTATCTTATATATTGCATGGGATCAATCGTGACGAACAATCACACGCAATTAGTTTTCATTTAGCAAACCTCACTCACACGGGAGTGAACGATGCATCCTTGTGTAAGGTATACCGCGAGATCGAGTAGTTTCGAAATTCAAATTTCGAGGCGGGCGGTATGTTTAGGATTGAGAAAAATTTGCCGCGCTCGATCGAACGAAAATTCACGGATCAGTCGAGAATTTAAGTGAAAGCAATTGCCGCGGGCCTAACACGGCAGCACCTCGCGGCACGCACCGCGGGAAGCGCCGCGGAAGCAAATTTTCGGCCAATTAGCGCGTTCCGCGTGTACCCCTCGCGATCAGGCGGTCGATAGCGTGATCGATGAGGGTAGCATTCCGTCGGAGACAGTCGTCGCGGAGAGAGAGCCGGCGTTGGTCGCAAGTCAGACCAAAGAATTCGCGTTACGGTGTAATAAGTGCGTGAATGTATTATCGCGACAAATACGAACAGATTTGCGCGGTATTGTGTGACATATCGAGAGTGAAGAGTTAACGGGTAATCGGATCTCGTTCGCGACGCAACATACACGTTCTCGCGACGAATTCGCCATTGTCTCGTGCATGCTACGTGCACGTGATCGAACATTACGAGTATTCGGATCCTGCTGGAGGATTCACTGCGATATTCGCGTATCGGTGAATGCATGTCGTGCATTCTCTCTCTCGCTCGTTCTCTCTCTCTCTCTCTCTCTCTCTCTCTCTCCCGCGCTCTCTCTCACAATTGTCGTAGTACGCCGTCGCGACGAACTCGCCGTCGTATTGTGCACGCTGCGTACACGTGATCGACTCCTGCGAATATTCGAATCCTTCTGGAGGATTCTGTGTGATAGTTAATTGCATATAAATGCACGTGATCGAACATTACGAATATTCGGATCCTGCTGGAGGATTGAATGTCACATAATTGAAGACAATTATTAAGTCGCGTCAAATCATATGTGCGCGTGTTCGATAAATTATAACGGTCGTCCACAAGAGGACAAATTTGTTGTTGTACGATTCGCGATCGTGACTTTCAAATAAGACATTGTTTTCTCTTGCGACAAAAAACATTGGTGTCGATATCGAACAAACAGTTTTTTCTTTTGTGATCGCGAGCTTCGAAACGTGTACAGCAAACGCTTTCGATTCTCATATCGAGTTTTTGTTCTTTTTTTCTTTGATTTGTTTGTGTCAAGTCCAGGTGACTTTCTGACATGTGAAATAATAAATTGATCTGTTTTTGTTCATCAACTTCAAGACTTCTTTTCAATTCGGCTTCCTACGTAAATCATCAATCTCAGCGCACACATGGGTGCGCGATCACCCTATTAAGATACAGTCCACTCAACAATTATCCTATTGTCCATCCATCACATCTCTCATGAGATTCCTATGATTTCTTTCCAATAAAAAAAAAAAAAAACGGGTGAAGGATTTGAGAGGCGGCGCGCGAGACGCGGCCCTAAAAAGGCCGAGCATGCTCGTTCGCCGCAGCTTCGCGTCGGACCACGGTTCAAGCCGCGCGTTCGCAACAATAGTATTACTTAAATAATAGTATTAATATAAATTAATCTAAATAATAATGTTAATAAATAAATTCTATATTAATTTATTCCACTTTAAAGCCGGTAGCACATGGGTACATTCAATGCGGAGCGGAAAAGTCGTCAACATATACATACGAGTATATTCCTATGGTAGATAAGCTACGACAGGCCCAGCGTAGTCCGCTGTAGCATACTATCATAGGAATACATATGTTGAAATTTTTTCTGCTCTGCATTGAATTCACCAACGTATTATCGGCCTTAATATAACAAGTTTGTTGTTATACAACAATTCTGTTAAATAAGCATTATTAATTAAATTGATAATATTTTCTTGTTATTTTAAGATAACTTCAAGCAAACTACAGATAGCGTTCACGTAAATGCTGGTAAATAATTATTTTTATTCTTTATATGTTTTGTATTTTTTAAATATTCCTTTTTGTATAATATTTTAATATCCAATATAACTTAACTTTCAGAATTTTCAGAATTCAGAAAACAACTTCTTAAAGAAGTTCATCTGATTAATCTTAAATTAAATGATCTTATGGATAACGTGAATATACTTGTAAAAAAAGCCCGATATGCTGATGAGCCAGAACTAAATGATGACACTAATACGGCTGTTATGACTTTAATACAATCGTTTCCAGTCGTTACAGAGCAGGAATTAATGTCGATGGAAGAATGGCTATCGAGTTCAGCTGATAACATACATGCACTGGTGTGTACTTAATTATATTATTATATATTATTTAGATTATATTTTACATGATGAAAATTATTTTCTAATAAAGAACTTTTTTATTTTGTGAATTTTATATTTTAGAGTCGACAACTGCGTTTAATTGGAGGCACAGATCTTCCCCATGTAATCAAAGCCATTATGTCGAGAGCAATTTCAAATGAAGTTAGAATGCTATATTCCTGGGAGGGAGCTCGGCAAAAAAAAGCTTTTAAATCGCTAAAGTTCGTCCAAGTGATCATTGGTAAAATATATTATTTTATATACTCTACATCAAAACCATTTTAAGCATATACATATACGCTTGAATCAAGTTTCATCGTAACATAACTGTGTTGCGTAATCAAATAATATTTAAATAGAAAAATTTGAATTTGAATTTAATTTTGTTACATTACTTTGTCGCTTTCATTTTTTTATTCACAATTTTTTTATTTAATATCTGTAATATATATGTATTATATGATGATGTTACGCATTAAGTTCGCAGATCTGTTCACACCGGTTATGTTGCACAGTTACGTTATGTAATGCTCATATGCGTGCGTAACTTTTATATTTACTAAATGATTTTAGGTGTTGTTCGACTGAACTCCAAGACAAAATCTGCAACAGAATCGGATATCATAGAAGTAATAAAAAATTGGCTAGTTAGAAGTAAAGAACGCAGTAACAAGTTTCAATCAAAAAAGAAAACGGAAAACACTGTGTGTCAAACAGATTCCGTTTGTGAAACAGGCTCTGCTTGTGAAACAGGCTCCGTTTGTGAAACAGGCTCCGTTTCTGAGAAAGACCTTATTCAAGATTAAGATAATTATATGTATAACTTGCCGTTATATATATATAATTATTTGTTTTACATTTATTACAAATTAAAAGTAAAATTTTAAGGTTTTAAATACTATTAATTTGATTGTTCTGCTACTATATATATTATTTGCATTTATTATTTTTGTTTTTTTTATTTAGTGCACATTTATCAAAATTGCTTTTTGTTTTTATTTTAAAATTGAGTTCTTTTTATTTTAAAACTTTAAAACACAACAACGGTTGAAACAACAGTTTTTAATTGTATAGAATATATTATATATGTATGTATTAGAAATAACTTCATTGGATATCTGTACTATACATACATAATATGACATTTAAAATGTTTTTCGAAAATTATAATAAAAAATAAATGCTAAAAAATTATATTAATATACAAAAATATATGTATACAGTGAATATGTTTATTACATCCACTGTTTATATGTACATACATTTTCGTATATCCATATAATTTCTTTAGCATTTATTTTTTATGATATTCGAAAAACATTTTGTACGTCATATTATGTATATAGTACACGGATATCCAATGTCGAATAAAATTAGCTGAATCTTGATATAATATATATATATATATATATATATATATGTACAATTAAAGGTAGATAATTAAAGTATTAGTTTAAAAATTTGTCACATTTTTATAATAAAATACTAAATACAAAATGATCAAAACCTATATATGGCTGTATATTTGAATCTTTTTGAACCTCTCAAATAATATATACATATAATATATGAAAATGTATATACATTAAATGTACATATAGATATATATATTGGATATACGTAGTACATGCATATGATGGACAGTATACGTTCTTTCGATATACATAGTACATGTATGTGCGAGGTACAGTATACGTTCTTTGGATGTACATAATACATGCATGTGATGTACAATATACGTTCTTTGGATATATATAATACATACATGTGATGTACAATACACGTTCTTTGGATACACATAGAATATGCTAAAAGTGCGACGATATGGATATACAAAAATGTATGTTCCATGTATGTACATTGGATGTACAAATGGATGTATAATAGATCTACCTGAGACCTACGGTGCATTGCTTTTGAACATCTATACGATCTGCAATGGACATCTTTCAGATGTGTTATGATATACACAGGATATCCAGAATCCATTTCCGTATATTCTATGTACATCTAGGGGATCTTTTGTGCTGACTGGGCATCTATTTATTTCGGGCTTACTTCTGTCAGTTATACATTGTTCATCAAAACAATGGTTAATTTTGTCGGGGGTTTGCTGTAAATATGATTTATTGTATTAATCTGGTATGTAAACATATATATTTTTGTAAATCTATAATTATTTGTATGATTAAGCGCATTAAGAGTATATTTATATGTATATAATTGTTTATAGATTACTTGAAAAGGGCTGCAATGACAGCCGAAACGTTGTAAATTAAACTAATTATTTAAAATAAATTATTGCCAGTCTGGTCGACTTTAAAATTGGAGGAGAGTTTTTCATTATTTATTACTGGCGACTCTTAAGGATTATCATTTATTTATTTATTAGTCTATAGTTATTTATTTATAAAGTTTGTAATTAAGAATTCTTAATAAAAATATTACTTTAATTTAGTAAAATAAAATTAAAATTAAAAACTTATTAATATTTATTTGTTTCTAAGTATCTTTTTTCCTTGATTTTTTCCAGGAAAGACAAATATTTTTTTTTCTTTAAATTATTTCTAAGGATTCTTTTTCTAGAAGAAAACATCAATTTTTAAAGTAAATAACTAAAAAAATTAAAAATATTTTGTTTACAAAGAAATTTTGGAGCACCTTGTAGAAAATGATATAATTTTATAAGTTACAGCTTATTAATAATTATAACATTGATCATAACTATAGAATTAAATTTACACACACAAATACATACGCACGCATATACATACATGTGTACATACTCACGCAAATCACACATGTACACACACACGCACACACTAACATATGCACATACTTTACCTATACTACATACACATTATACACATGTATACATTATATACTTATTGATAATAATATTAAAATTTTAGTAATAATTTATGATCATAAATTTTAACCAATTTAGATATTTTATTCTTAATTAACAAAATATTTCAAAATTTTATTAATACAATTAATTTATTTTATAAAATAACAGGTTATAGCAGTTCAACATTTTAAATCAGATCAACCGAAAACCAAAAGAAATGGTAGAAACGCATCTTTATAATTTTATTATGAACAACAGTGAAATTATCATTCAAATTGCTGCCTGGAATGATTGAGCTTTTAAATATACATAATAACTTAAACAAAAGTAAGATATTATATATAATATATTATAAACATTTATAAATTAAAATAAATATTACATTAAAAACATTTATGTAATTATTTGTTATATTAATTAAAATCAATTATTAAATTTAAATTATTAATACAAAGTTTACCACTATTTATTGTGCCTATTAGCATTTATAAAATAATACTCTATGTAACAAAAAAAGCCGCGCCTAATTTCTTATTATAAATATTTTTAGAAATAAAGAATATAACGTAAAATTTGGACAAACATAATGTAAATATATAGGTATAGAGAAACTGTGTCATTATTTTCATTATTTTAATATATTAATGTGGAATAATATTATTAATTAAATTCTATATTATTAATTTTATTAATTACAATTAAAGTTATTCATATTTATTTGTTTTTAACTTTCTATTGTTTTTCAAGGAAAAACAAATATTTCTTTTTTCATCGTTTCTAAGGAAAAAAAAAGACGCTAGCAAAAAACCGTAGAGCATTTCTTGTGTGTATCGACTCCAAGACGGTTGTGTAGTACATTCATTTTCTTTTTAACGTAAGTATTAAAGATTATTATGCTGAAAATATCAGTATCAAAATTAATAAATTCTACTTTCACAGAGCAAAATTTTGGTATAAAACTCAATGTTGAACATTATTTATATTATTAATAATTGTTAAAAAAGCATTTAATAATATAAACACATTAATATAGGTTTAACATGGCTTTAAAAGAAATAACAAATACCAATTTGTTTACAAAAAAAGAAATTTTGGAGGACATTATGGAAAACGATACGACTTTGTAAGTTATATTTTCTTAATGATTATGCATATTAATAATTAGTTATTATAAAGAAAATAAAAACTATAAAACTAAATTTACACACCTCGCGCGCACACAGTCACATGCATACATAAAAACACACACACACACACACACACACACACACACACATACACGTACACTTAAATTTTCACATGTAACATACACATTATACATTTAAATATACATAGATGCAGATACACACAAATATACAAACGCATACGCACAAAAACACATATACATATACACATTATATATTTATTTACAATTATAGTTTTACATTAAATAATTTTAGCAATAATTTATAATTTTAAATTTTAATTATATTAGATATTTTAATTTTAATCAAACATTTCCTTATTTCAATCAAATAAATTCTTTCATTATAGTGAAATAACTGGCTACGTCAGTTCAATATTTCAAATTAAATCAACCACAAGAAATGGCAAAACAACGCATCTTTTTAATTTTATTATGAGCAACGGTGAAATTACCATTCAAATTGCTGCCTGGAATGATTTAGCTTTTAAATATGCAGACATAATAACTCAAACAGAACAAGTAAGATATTTTTATATTTATATAGTATTAAAATAAGATTTTTTATATATTATTATTTATATAACATTACATTTTAATATATTTATATAATATTATTTATCATATTAATTAAAACAAATTCTTAAATTGTATAGGTTTATTCTCTACAAAAAGTGGTACCTAAAATCCCTTTGAGGAAAGAATATTTACATAATGCTTCATTTCCATACGAATTATTAATCCGAAGTTCCACTATTGTCGTTCCTATTGGCATTTATAAAATACCAAAAGAAATTGAAACAATTTCTTTGATTAAAATGCAAAATGCCAGAACCAAAAGTGGTTTAATAATAGGTAATTTAATATTATAATCTCTCTTATATGTTAATCAATATATTTAAATTTAAAACTTTTTGATTATCCAAAATCAAATTTTGATTTTTAATTGTAAATTTAATAATAATAATCAAATATAACAATATCAAACATAATAACAATAATCAAATATAACAATTTAACGATATCAAATAATAACAATAATCAAACATAACAACAATTATCAAATATAATTAAATATACTCAGTAAACACAAAGTAACTGTAACATAACATATATATTAAAAAGTCCGTTTTAATAAGATAACAGTTACGTGACATGCTCTGTTATATAACAGTTACATTATAGGAACAGACATTTTAATATATATTATGTTATTATTATTTTGTGTTTACTAACATAATCAAAAGAATTTAATTTAAGTTTTAGTAGAATATGCTTCTTTTATTTCAACTATCAATTCTGAAACATTCTGTATATTTGTTTTCATTAAAATTCCTAATTATATGAATTAATTATTATCTAAAATATTTTAATTTTCTTTTCAGAAATGGAACATCATATAAAAATGATTTTTGAAAAATCATCTAATAATCATTTTTACATTGGAGCGATTACAGATGGTTATTATAAACTGTCTGTTTTAATAACATGTAATGGAGAATTTGAAGATAATTTCACTTACGGCTCACCAATTAAAGTAATAGGAAAAATGCAAGTACCTGAAAATAAACCTCCATATCTTTCAGTTTCGTCAGTGGAAAATGTGCAATTAATTGACGGCGAAAAAATGTCATTTTTGCAAACCTTAAAAGGATATCATCCTATTCCATAAATTTTAACAAAATTATTTTCTTTACGAAGAGACAATTTGATTTTAAAAATACAAATATTTTACATATTTAAAGTAATAAATAACATATTTTAAATACTTTAAATATTTACAATAAGTAACATTATATTTTAAATATTTAGCATTATTATACGTATTATTATATGTATTTTATATTAAATATTTAATATTACTATGTTTTACTTTCTCGTTCTCATTTGCAAATAATATATATATATATATATATATATATATATATATACGAGGTGTGTTCAAAAAGTATCGCGAATTTTGAATTTCCGCGGGTTACGTATATTCGATTTTCGATTTTTTTGTGGCGTTATATTGGTACTCATGTTTCTCATTTATGCCGACAAGTACGGCCATTTTGAATGTTCAGTTAATTTTTGACAGCTGCTTTGCTTGCACGTGTTTTGGCTCGTCTTCGATTTTTGCCTATTCCAAAAAATGGATCAAAGAATCTGTATCAAATTTTGTGTGAAAAACAAAATTAAGTGCGCGGACGCATTCCGAATGTTGACTGTGGCATATGGTGAAGCTACCTTGGACCGAAGCAACGTTTATCGGTGGTACAAAATGTTTTCCGAGGGCCGAGAAGATGTGAACGACGATGAGCGTGCCGGACGCCCGAGCACGTCAACAACAGACGAAAACATTGATGAAGTGAAGAAAATAGTATTGGTCAATCGTCGAATCACCGTTAGAGAAGTTGCTGAAGACCTAAACATATCGATTGGCTCGTGCCATTCGATTTTTACCAATGATTTGGGCATGACACGGGTCGCCGCGAAATTCGTACCAAAATTGCTCAATTTCGACCAAAAACAGCATCGAATTTTTGGCCAAAAACAACACACTAATAATGCCGCAGCCACCGTATTTCCCAGATCTGGCCCCCTGTGACTTTTTCTTGTTCCCGAAACTGAAGAGGCCCATGAAAGGACGACGCTACGCTACGATTGAGGAGATAAAGACAGCATCGAAGGAGGAGCTGAACAAGATCACAAAAATGATTTTTTGAAGTGCTTCGAGGATTGGAAAAAACGTTGGCACAAGTGTATAATATCTGGTGGGGATTACTTTGAAGGGGACAAAATAGATATTCATGAATAAATAAATAATTTTTGAAAAAACAAAATTCGCGATACTTTTTGAACACACCTCGTATATATTGATAAAATGTTACAAATAAAATTCAGAAAAAGAATAAATAAATGATCTTCAATTAAATAATTATCTCCATAATTTTATCTTATTCAAATTCTGAATTTCTTTCTAGCTAATATGCGACTATAAAAAGTTATTCAATTCAATTCAATTCAATTCTTTATTCGTCCCCTAAGGGATTGAAGGCGCTTTTGAAGGAGCGTTCCCCAACCTTACAAAACTCTTACAATTATACTTATATCTACTCTTATCTCTACTCTTACATCTAATTTACAAATAACTTAATTCTACCTTAACCTACTTATCTACTACTTTAGAGAGAGAAAGAGCCGTCCCTACCTATCGCTTCGCTTCGGCTTCCGATTCCCCATATATTCTCCACCACCTCATTCATACCTCACTCATTCTCCTCCTCATACTTCCCTCGTCCTTTTCCCCTCCCCCCCCCTTTTTCTTCCGTTCTCCCCTCTTCCCTCTTTTTCTCTATTTCTCTCATCCATCCTTCCCCTTCTCCTCCTTCCTGCAATATTCCCTTCATTCTTTCCCACCAGTTTCCCTTCTCCCCTTCTCCCCCACATTCTCCTATCACATGCTCCCATGTTTCATCTTCTATCCCGCATAACCTACATCTTCTTTTCTCCTCTTCTTCCCAGTATCTCGCCCCTCTCATCTCATTGTTCATTCTGAACCTAACTATCCTTCTCCATCTACTTTCCCCCCATCCCTTTCTCAGGTATTCCGGTAAACCCTCCTCCTTCCATTCCCCATACCATCTATTATATCTCGACTCTCTTATCCTCTCCCATCTTTCCTCCTTTTGCCTTTCCCTGTCTTTCTGTTCCCACCCCTCATATACTTCCTCTCCCCTTCCCCTTTTTTCCTCCATCTCTTTCCCTTCTATTCCTCTTTCTTCCCAGAATTTCTCCCTCTCTTCCTCCCACATCGTTCTTTCCTTTCCTCTTCTTATCCTCTCTTTCATATCCTCAAAACATTTCCTCGCTAAACTTCCTCCCCTTCCTTCCTCCAACTTCCTCTCATACCCTACCGCCCTCCTTCCTGCCCTTATCCTAAATTTGTCTTTTCCTATCTCCTCTCTTACCATATACCCCGGCGTGCACCAGTCTACTCCTAACGTCCACCTAATCCATCGCTCCTGCATTGCCTCCACCTCTCTCCTCTCCTTCCATCCCCATATTTCCGCCCCATATTCCAACACCGTCCCCACCAACCTTTCCATTAGCCATACTCTTTTCATCCAGTCTCCTGCAAACCTTCTCTTTCCCATTCCCCACACCTGTCTTATCACCGCTCCTGCTTTCCTAACTCTGTTCTTTACCTGCGCCTCCTGCCCCCCGTTCCTCTGTAGCTTATACCCTAAATATGTGAATTCTTTCACTTCCTCTAACCTTTTCCTTTCCATCTCCACTCCACTCTCTTCATTCTTCCTCCTCCCTTTTTAAACCTCATTACCTTTGTCTTATCCACATTCACCTCTAACCTTTTCTTGTCCATATAACTTTTCATTTTCCCCAACATATGTATCATCCCTTCCTCATCCTCCGCCAACAGTACCATGTCATCTGCGTACGCCAAACAATGCACCTTTTCCCCTCCCAGTTTCACCCCCCCCCCCAACCTCCTTTTCTTAGCACTTCCTCTATATCCGCTATCAGCAGACTGAATAAGTGCGGACTCATTGGGCAACCTTGCCTCACCCCCCTTGCCGTCCAAAAATTTTCTCCCTCCTCTTTCCCCACTCTTACCTTACTCCTCGTTTCCCTGTACACCTCTTCTATCCTACTCCTTAATCCTTCCCTCACTCCCCTCCCCTTCATTGCCTCCATTAACACCTCCCTATCTACCGAGTCAAACGCCGCCTTCAGGTCCATAAATGCCGCAACTACCTTTCCTCCCTTCTTATTTACCCTCTTATTCACCAGATAGTTCAACACATAGATACTATCCATCACCCCCATTCCCTTTCTAAAACCTGTCTGACTCTCCGGTATCATATTCTTCCCCTCCATTTCTTCCTTTAACCTTTCAGTTAATATCCCTACGTATATCTTGTATAGCGTTGGCATCAATGTCACTCCTCTATAGTTTTCCACTTTATTCCCCGTTCCCTTTTTCAACAGTGGCACTATTATCCCTTCTTTCCACCTCTCCGGCCATCCTTCTCTTCTCCATACTCTGTTGCACATTTCCCATACCCACTCTTCTACCCTCTCCCCTCCATATATCCCATCCTCCCCCGCTGCTTTTCCTTTCTTCAGTTTTCCCAGCATCCTCTTCACTTTCTCCCTGCTTATCTCCTGCTCCTCATCTCTCTCCCTTTTTTCTTTTCCTCCTCTTACAACTTTTACCTCTATCCCTCCCAATAAGTCCATGAAGTATTCCTTCCATTCCTCCGCCTTTATCTCCTCATTCACCCCTTCTCTCTTTTCCTTCCCTGTTTATAATCTTCCATACTTCTCCTTCCGTTCTTGCCTCTATCGCCTCCTTGTACCATCTTAGCCTCTCCTCCTCCCTTTTTCCTTTACACATTAGCCTATATTCCGCCCTTACTTTTCTATATCCTTCTCCTCCTCCTCCTTTTTTCCTCCATCCCTTAACTTTTTCCTCATTCTTTCCTCTTCTCCTCACATTCCTCCCCCACCACCCTTCCTTTTTCCTTCCACCCTTTTCTCTTTTTTCTCCTTCTCTCAATTCCTCTTCTATTCTTCCTATTTTTCTCCTCTAGCTCCTCTTCTTCAATCCCTCCTTCCACCCCTCTCCCCACTCTATTCCTCTTTTATTCTTTCTCCTCCCCTCTTTGTCCATCTCCCTCTTTTTCTTATTCCTTTTCCCTCCCCCTTTTTCCCTTTTCAGCTCCTCCTCTTCTTTCTAGCGTTACAATCAATGGGTGATGGTCCGATTCTATGTTATCTCCCACCTCCATTCTCTTTATCCTTTCCTTTACTCTATCCTCTCCACCACATAATCTATTACCGATTTCCCTCTTCCTCCTGTATATGTGTACTCCCCTTCCTATCCCCTCTTATCCCTCCGTTAAAAATTTCCCATCCCACCTCTTCCAACTCTTTTATCAACTTCTTCCCTTCCTCATTAACTTTCTTGTCCTTCGATCTTTCTTCTCTCTCCTCCCCTCCTATCACTCCCCCCCTTCTACCTGTCCTTGCGTTGAAATCTCCTCAAAATCGTCCATTTATTTTCTTCTTTCTCTTCCTCCATTCCTTCATTTCCTCCAATTTCCTTTCCATGTCCCCGTTGATGTATACGCCTATTACCCTCCACTTCTCTCTTCCTACTTCTAAATCCGCCATCATTATTCCCTCCTCCTTTTCTCCCATTTCTGATACTTTTATCTTCCCCCTCTCCTCCCTTACCATGATCATTCCCCCCATCGGTCTTCCTTTCTTCTTTTCTCTTCTTTGCTGCTTGCTTCTCCCATCTATATCCTTTCGGTAACCTCTTTTTAATCGCCTCCCACCCCCTTTCCTCTATCCATGTTTCCATCATCACCACCACCTCCCAATCTTCTATTTCCTTCCAGAACTTTATAAAAAGTTATTCATTATATTATATTATACTTATATTTTTCAGAGTATCAATAATACAGTCATAAAATATTATTTCTTTCTTTACTTGAATAATGACATAATATGTTTTTCGCTATAATAAAAAAAAATTTTTATTAAAATAAAGAAATGTTTAATTAAATAAAATTAAAATATATAAATTAATAAAAATTTAAAATTATAAGTTATTGCTAAAATTATAATTTTACTATAAATATAAATTATAAAAACTATCAATATTGGTAATATTTAAAAGACGTATTTTTTGTATTTTACATTCTAAATTGTAGTTAAAATTATATATATAATAATTCTGCTTAATTATTTTAGTTGTAATTACGTATAATCAAATTAAATAAATAGTAAATAAATGTGAATAATTATGTGTGTAAAATATGATGTATTTATTGATAAAATGCTACAAATCTTTGATAAAAAAATTCCAAAAAAATATATAATTAATTTTTAATTAAATAATTATTTATCACACGCGCGTACTTACGCACGCGCACACAAACACACACAAACACATATACACAGACATACACACACATGCACACACATGCACACACATGCACATACACATGTACGTACACACGCACACTCGCACGCACGCACGCACAGTATAAAATTAAAATATCTATACTGATTCAAATTTTAAGTTATAAATTATTGCTAAAATTATTGATTAAATTATGCTAAAGTCATAAAATTATTATGAATTATTATAAAATTATAAAAAATGTCAATATTTTAAATATTTTTTTAAATACTAAAAGATTATCATTTTCTACATTGTTTTTACGTTCTTATTTGTAGTTAAGATTATATAATATCTTATTTGTAGTTAAGATTATATAATAATTATAGTTATAGTTAATTATTTTTAATTCAAAATTGCAAGCTGTCAAACGAACATTGCATCGCTCATCGTCGCGCACTTCACGTCAACTTGCGTCGCGAGATCGATCGCGTCGCCACGACCAATCACGATCGGAATAAAGCGGCAACAATGGGATCGCGATTTTCGGCAAACTTCCTGGTATCACAGAGATTTTACTGTAGGGATAATGCTGGACGAATATAACTTTGCTTTTCCTTTAATTCTAACATATTTAATATTTTCCTTTTTTTTTGCATTTCTTGCGTGAAAAAACTGTTCATATATTTCTGTTATAACTTGATTATCTTTATCGTCATTATACATTTCATTTATTAAAATAGTTAAAAATACTTTGAAACTCATGTCTCTCTACTTCACACTTACATACAACAGTATAAATTATTTGACAGTTTTGAATTTGCGCGTATAGAAAAAAATCAACACGTTTTAGTGACATGGTTGCTGGTACCTATACCAAAAATAGTTCCGCCTCTACCAATAACAACCACGGTACATGTACCAAACAGTTGCCAAAAATCGCCTATTATAAAATTTAGAAATTCTGGTGCTTTTGTGCATGCATTGGTTTCTGATATGGGGTCTAATTTTATGCAGCTATCCCGTGAATTAGGTATTTCGACAGAAAATTCAACATTTTTAGTAAATGAGAGAGGAAATTTTTTATATTTTGATACTCCTTATTTAATGAAAGCAACTCGTAATAATTTATTAAAATATAATTTTAAATTTGATAATAAAGTTGCTTCATAAAATCATATAATCCAATTTTATAATAGAGATTCTAAACAATGAATAAAAATGGCTCCTCATCTAACAAAATATCATATTGAACCAAATTCCTTTCAACGAATGAAAGTAAAATATGCTGTCCAAATATTTAGCAATCGGGTAGCTGCAGGTATATGCACGCAAATGTCGTTTGGTTTTCTTCCAAGTGAAGCAGTTGGCATAATAGAACTTATTGAAAAATTAGATAAATTATTTGATATTATAAATTCATTTGCTTTAAATAATCCAAAAGAATATGGAGAAATTTATACTGGTAGTGAGAAACAAAAAGAGTTCTTAGAGAAAATGTTACATCTTTTCAAATATATTACAATAATTAATGCCAACGGTTCACGTGTTAATGTAAATATTAAATGTTTTCAGTGCTGGCAGATTACAATTAATAGTATAATGCAGTTATGGGATAAAAAATTAAAATTTTTTAATTTTCCTTATCTTCGAACACGAAGAATTAATCAAAATTGTGTCGAAAATTTCTTTGATACTATTATGCAACAAGGTGGTAATTCTCTGAATCCGACATCGATTAATTTATGCGTGCCTTTAAAAATTACTCAGTATTAAATTTCTACAGCATTCTGAATCTCAAAATTGTGCTCATGATAATTACCAAATGTTAAATTTTATTAAGAAGCCGTGTTCAAGTAAATGTTTAAATCAAACTATTCCACTTTTGCCACGTAAAATTTTAGATATCCCAAACCATGATTACTATTCCATGGATCTGCCCAGAGGAGAATGCGTTACATATGTGTGTGGATGTTTGATTAAAAAGTGTATGGAAATTCATTCCTGTAATACATGTATATTATATGTAAATGAAAATAACGCTGTTTTAGAGGACACTATATTATATTGTTCTTTTCGAGCTTATTCTAATGAAGAAAATAATTTATATGGCAATTTAAACATACCAATAGCAATTTTTGTTTTTAAATCCATCAATTAGAAGAATTATTTGTAAAAAATTTTGAAAATAATTGTTTTAAAAGAAATATTGGCAATTATCTTTTTTATTTAGTGCAAACTATACTTTTTGAATTGCTATGCCAAGATTTTTTTTACTAATTTTTGATAAAATTATTTTTACGTACGTGTATATATTTTACATTAACACAGCATAATAAATCATGCAAAAGCATTAGTAAGAAAAATAGGAAACTTCTAAATGTGAAACATTTATAAATCTTAATATTAAGTATACAGTCTTATAGCCTGTCTTATATATGTTAAATTTATATATACAGTCTTATTTTCATAATAAAAAGTGTGATTGCGCTTTAAATGAAATATTAATATTATAACATTTGCTTTATATATATCATACATTAACATTATTAACAACTTGATCTTATATACATAATTTTTTATTAAAATTAATTTATTTACATGTAGTAATATACTAAAAAGAGAGCAAAAATGAAGAAAGAGTGGAAAAAAAGTTCAGATGGCAGTACTGTTATACTCGCTGATTTCGCGCATGCGTACTCCATTTTATGTTACACAAACATCAAAGGTGCCGACAGAGAGTTGTGCTATTGTATATACTGTGATATTACTTCTATAACAACTGTGGAACGCTAGCGAATTTTAAGCAACACTTACTGTAAACGCATTTTAATTAAGCGAAGAACTGTAGTGACATTGGTGCAACTGAACTTAAGACGTTTCAATAAATAGAATCTTATATAATACAAATTTAAACAATTAAAAATGCGTAAAAAGATTTAAAACCTAGAACATTAGGTTTGTTTCTTCTGCTTACACTTCGTACACTATCGTGTAAAGTGTACACTTTGGCGTTCTTCTTGTCGGAAATGACGTAGAGTTGTGCGATTACACTGGATTACACGCTGTTCGTCTTGAAAAGTGGATCACACTTTTATGACGAATTTTACACTGGTTTACACGAGCCTGAGAGGTGGTGTACGCAGTGTAAAGTTACACTAAGAGGTTATAGTTTTCCACGATTGCTTCCTAATTTTATTTTTTACAATGGAAGAAGTCGTATAAGTGCCTAAAACGGCAATAGTATTTCGAAATGCCGATGAATCAATAATTATTGATGAAGAAGGTTACATAACATGCCAAACCGACAGTATGTATACATTTTTAATTGTTTTATTTACATATGTGTTTTGTTAATTGTATGTATACATTTTTAATTGTTTATTTACATGTGTATCATGTTAATTTGTAGGTGGGCTAACTTTTAAAATACACACTTCCGAAATAGATTTGAATGGTCCACCCATTACATGTACTTTGGATAACGAAAAAGTTTTAATAGTATTAACATCTACACACAGAACAATAGACACACCGGACACTAACATTTCCAATCAAGAAAATCAGAAGCCAAACGTCATTCAACACAATTTTGAAATTTTTACATGAAATGATGCGAATACCAAACTATTTTTATCACTCTACAAGGAGAAGAAAGAATTAGTTAGTTCTAGAAGAATTAAAAATTTTAAAGAAATGTGGAAGCGTATAAGCGACGAGATGAGAAACTCGGGATACGACGTGACTCCTATACAAGTGGAAAATAAATGGAAGACTTTAGAAAGACAATATAAAAAAGTTATTTCCAATAATAATAAGACAGGAAGAGGGCGGATTACCTGTAGTTACCAAACGTTTACGTATAGCTAAAATTGAAATAATAATAAATCATAATAAATTGATGCTTTATTTTTACTTACATGCTTTTACAGGGAACTGACAGAAATTTTGGGAAAGAGCCACAAAATAGTTCCACTTGCTGTGGCGGGTCCGGAAATAAGAGTAATGGTCCGAAATAGTATATCAGATCTCAGGACTTTATTGAATAACAGGTTTGTTTCGTAAATACTAATATCATCTATGAATTGTGATTTAAGTATATTTATTATTGCATATTTTGAAAATTGTTCATATATTTTCATATATTATCATTAATTTTTGAAAATTAATTTTATTTTTTAACTTTAGTGCGCCGATTTTAATGCCAGTATCGACAACAATTGTATTACCAACCACATCAAACGTAGAAAAAAGAGAGGAACCTGAAGATATGCCTGTGGCTGATGGAAAGTGAAGTAGTAACCGTACCTGAAAATGCCAACCTCGTTGCTGTTGCTAAAAAAAGAATCGCCACTGGAACAACGGCAAAGGCATTGCAACAGTGCCAAAAAGAGATGCAAGAATACAGGAAGACACTCGAAAAACGCGATGAAAATCAAGATAAAATGTTATCACAAATCCTGGAAACCTATAAATCAATAAAAGATAGACAAGAAGAACATTTGACCGCAATAGAAAACCACAGAAAGGAAACTATTCAACAAAGAAGAAAAAGAAGAAACGACTTATTGGAAGAAAAAAAAATTCATTGAAAGAAATTTTAAATTTATTTTTAAAAATTAACCAGTGTGACGTGGCGACTCTTCTTTTCAGTAAATTTAGCCGACGATTATATTATTTTATTCCATTTATTTTCCACTTGTATTGCAGTCACGTCATATCCTTAGTTTTTCATTTCGTTACTTATGCGTTTCCACATTTCTTGTACAGTGTTGAAAACAGCTTTGTATTATATTTGTGAAGTTTATTGTTTATTGTTGATTTAATGGAACAATTTAATAAAAGAATTTTTATATTAATATGAAATAAGGATTTTATTGAAAACACATTTATTATTTATAATTCACAAATAATATAAATATAAGGCCTTTAAAAGATAAATTTACATATTTCTTATTTAAATAGAATGTA